TAAGGATAACTCAGATTGCCTTTTAATAAATAATAAGCATATGTGTGATGTGAAACAATGTGTAAAGTGGCAGATAGCTTGGGTGCTGGAGTAGGTGTGACTGTTAGTTCTGTAACTGCAGCACCATAGAATGGATCTGGATTTGAGCAGGGCGGTCTGGTGACAGTGATGTATTAATCCCCTAACAGCTCATAGATGCATGAGGAGAGATCAGTATCTTAGCGTTACACCCTGAATAAACTTTACTGTAATGGGCTATCTTGCCAGATATCTGTGCCTTCCTCCTTCCCCCTGATCTGGTGATACAGTGCAAAGCCCAGACGCTGTCAGTGGGGATGATGAGCTATCTCTTCAGCTTGACCAGCCAGACACATGCTGAGTAAATCTTGCTGGTGTTAACAAGCCTTTTAGGGGTGTTAGGCCCAGCTAACTCTTACAATCTGTCATTGCACCTTTACATCTTCATCAGAACTAGAGCACCGAGTCTTCCCAGAACTGTGTTAATTGGATTTCACGTTCCTGGAAAGGTGTGCAGATTGTGTCTTGCATAGCAATTGCAGGCACAGCCGCTGAAGAGTTCAGTACTCCTTGTTTCCTTTCTCCAGCACTGCCATTCCTCTTGAAACTGTTAATACCCCCCCGCACCATGCCTTTGCGAGGCAGTGATTTGAAGCAGTAAACAACTGGACTAGCTTTTCAGCTGATGCAAATCACCCAAGTTTTTAGCTGACTCTGTCAAAGCGTGTTTCTTTTTTTCACCTTTGGATGGTTTTCTTTCACGATGGAATGCCTGACACCGTGGTGGCCTTAGGTCCGTAAACCAAAGTAAGCATAACTTATGCATCTGAAAACTGTCATCTTTAATCTTGATTTCCAGAGTGCATTGCTGACCAAAAAGCAATTTTAAAAGCTTTATTCTCCCTTTTTCTGTCGAAGAGGTCTGGCCAGAAAATAGTGGAGAACAAAACCATTTTTCAGCCCAGATGAAGTGCATAAAAATTATAAATTGATTTTATAGTCCTTGTTGAACTTGCTTGTTCAATAATAAATTATTCCAGTTATAAAGTAACCAATGCATTCCTTGTAACTACCTACTCTCTGAACAGTGACAGCCTACGACTTGTATTAATATAAGCCGTATTGAGCAACCAGTAGAGCATATGCAGTGTTCCAATGCAGCAGCAGCACTGAAATCATGATAAAATACTTCAGGGTGCCAAGCAAGTCTGTGGCAGGGAGCTGGTGATTTGGTCTGGTCTTCAGAAGTGTTCTTCAGGAGCTTCAGTGGAGTTAATAGGGGGAAAAAGGGTTGAGAGGCAGTTTATTTGTCTGTTCAAATCAAGTATCAGATGCCAATTAAAAGTGTCTCCTGCAGTCACTAATTAAGAAGCACTGAGGGATTGATTAGCCATTTACCAATGACTGTCAGTACAGATGCCTTTGTTCTGTTATCCCAGCAGGTACCGCAGGGAATTGACTGGTTTCTAGTAATGAATCGGAGCATGTTCACGTGATAAGCATGAGAGCCTGCCTTGTAATTTGCTTTCATATCTAAAGCTTTCGTTTCATTGGCTGGCCTGCGTTCTACGGTCATGGATGTGCTCTTCATTGCTTCAGAGGAGTTTGTCTCCTGAAATGATTCTCCATAAGGGCAATGGCCATCTCAGAGAATGGGCAAGGGCCACGTTACTTTACATCCCGCTGGTTTGCTACCAGCACTCTGGGCTTCCTGCTCCGTTCCTGGGCAATGCCCCAGAAAGGTGAAGATGTGAATGAGGAGACTGGTAACAAAAACGTTCTTCTGACAAGGCATGGTTTGAAGATCTGTGTTGTGGTTCCATGTCAGGGCTCTAGCCAAAATTTAGAAGGATTTTGGGCAGTTGGCCATGCCCTGGCCGTGGCAACACCTCCACTGTAAGGTGCTGGAAATCCCAAGTATGCCAAGGACTGGGTTGGGATTTTTCAGTGCTTCTGTTTCCTTCACAGTCTTCAGGAGATAACTGTGTTTGGGAGCAGAAACATACTTTTCCCACTGTTTATGGGGTCAGGAATTTTGACTCTAACCTTCAGTAATGTTTTTCCTCTAACTTCAGTGGAAGCCATTTGATGCAACTTGGAAAGGGTAGAAATGCCACAGAGGAGGAATATCTTGTCTTTATTTCAACATGCAGAGTCTGTTTGATGTAAAGCAAATAAACAAGAAAACAAAAATCTCCTTGCATGCCATGATGCCTTGTTCAGCACCATGTCACTTGCTGCCTACTCCAGACTTTATCCCAGTTTTAGTCCAATGCAAAAGCATCCCCTGGTTCTGATTTAATATTTGCAGAAATTACATTTGAAATGAGGTACAGTAGGAGGAAATACATCCTAAAAATTTGATGGTTGAAAGAAATATCTTTAATCTCTCCTGTTATTAGGACTAAAGGAGCTTTCAGAGAATAATGAAGCCATCACACTAAGCCTCTTATTCTCTTCCTTTTGGTCATTTCTTCTCCTGTTTTTAATTTGCCTTTTTTATTCTTCTGATATTAATTTTCTGGTTCTTTCCCCCCCTGCAGTTTTCACCTCTTTCCTCCAGTTCAACACTCCGCGTTTAGTGCTTTCCCCCCAGCTTCTCACTCTTTCTTTTTAAAGTCTTGTGATTTCCCCTCTCTCCCTCCTTCCCTTTTTAAGTCTTTATTCTTCTTCATATTCCCTGCTATAACTCGGTCTTCTGCTGTCACGTCTCTATCAGCGTAGTCATGGAGGATGATGCATGGTGGGGTGTAGAATGGCTGTGCCTGCTTTTCTGAGGGCTCCCTGCCTGAGTCTGCTGCTGTTGCATGACAACAGCAGCTTGCCTGATATTATCCAAGATGCTTTGCCTGCACACACCACTGTGGGATAGCTGTGTGGCAAGAAATGTACCAGTTACCAAGTAATTTGGGAGTGCGCAGGAATATACCTAGCTAGTATTTTTGCTCATTTAAGTAGTTTCACTGCTCTCCTTTCACCTTGGAAGTAGCTTATGTAGTTACAGTTTGTTACTGGCATTGCTTTGTATGTTAAGAAGCTGCCGTAAGGTCAGTTGTAGAAAAAGGGGTCATCCAGATGGCTCATTAGAATCAGGAATGTTGGAGGAGACGGTCAAAATGAGACTCACCTGATGCTATGATAATCCTGCTCTTGTGATTAAGATACAAGAAAATCAAGACTAGAGTAGTAATTCTTACGATATTTGCAGTGGAAGTGGTTACATGTGTAAATAAACCTTTCTAAACAAAGTTGTTGCTAATTGTCAGGTGGTTATTTTCATGGCACAGCTATGTCACCACTGTGTGCCTTGTGGCCCCTTGGGCTATCTGTAGTACATAAGTATGTACTTCTAGACACCCTTGCTGTAGAGCGTTTGTAGTTGAAGCAGATAAGAGGGATGGATAGTCTGATCTAACACCAGACATATCCAATGGAAATCTTTTAATGTACTTTGCGTGCTGAATGATAAATTGGACTGGGGAGGATTGAAAAGCTTTGCTCAAGATGATGCTTAGTAAGAAACCTGAACTGGTGATGTCTGGATATTGAGTCAACCAGAGAAAGAACTCACTTATCAGTCTCAGATATATTTGTTGGACATTATCAAGTGGAACTGATAAGCAAAAAAAGGAATTGAATATAGTATCTTACAAATAAGAGACTTGGATTAAATTTATGATGCAGTCCTCGTACTAGGATTTGGTGTCCTTAAATGCATACAGTTCCTGAAATGATTCTTATGATTGCAGTGCTTTTGTTCATGTTGTATAATAAAATGTTGTAACAAATGCTTTTTGATAGCTGTGATCCATTTTAGTCTATATAGAAACTTCCTGCAGTTGTAATAATATAAAAAATAGCAATAATTCACAAAATTGGGGAAGCTGTGATACTGCAGAGGTCAGGCAATAAAAAAAGAAAAGGCGGATGTTGTCTATATGCCTCCGATAGACAGAATCCGTTCTTGGGTACCATTTTACTTCTCTCTCATATAAAGACCAGGAACTGAGAAAATAGCAGGGTTTTTTTCTTTCCAGTAATACAACTGAAGAAAATCTATTTTCTTTCAGATGGGGAGAGAGAGGAAATTTTTATCTGTAGTAGAATGCAAGGGTCATGTCACCCGGCCCGTGTTATGTAGCAGATTACATTAATAGGCCTTTCTGTCCTGAAACTGGTTGAAGCTTTTTACCTGTTGCAATATCTCAGTGTGAATTTTGAGTATGAAGAGTATGATAGAGGCTGAAGGTAAGAAAAAGTAGAGAGACAATGGAGAACACTGTTGAGAGCCAGATTTCTGGGTTCTCGCAGAATGAGTCCTGGGTGGTCTTCTGGGTCTTCCAGTCCTGTCCTTCAGTGCCATATATAGCTGTGTCCCTCCAGGGACAGGAGGGATAATGCTCATCCTCACCCATGAGCACTTCTGGAATAACAGGTACTGACGGATAATCTATAGGTTGCCATTTAAATCAGGGTTGCTTCTGTCCAGAAAGCTGCTTTCACAAACCAATTAGTAATGAGTTCTGCATAAGGAATATTTACCAGCACAGCTATGGTGGGTATTGAAATGTTTTTAGATCTCTCTCCTGGGTCTAGGGTACATCTTGACTTGTAAATTTGTACTCACCTCTGCCTGAATTAGGCTTCTCTGAATCTCTTTGCTTGTCTCTGAAATGGTTAAAATCATAGTCCATTGCCTCACTTTAAAGTTTTGTTTAGAGGATTCAGGATTCTGATGAATCAACCTAATTGTTTATAAGGATGCAAACTGTTTATGCAGATAAAATAGTAGGCTTTTGGCAGTGCTTCGTTCTTTAAAGCAGAAAAAGGAACCAGAGCAAAAGCCCAGTTATTACTGAGGATGAAATGCAAGTAATTGTATGCTGGGATAAGCTGCTCATTCACTTGAATTGTGAGACAGATGAGTTTTCCTGGTGAAGAATCTCACCTAATTTTCATATTGGTGGTTTTTTTCATGGTAGTAAATTTGGAAATGGGGGCAGCACAGATCTGTTCTTGGCAGCAGATGTACCTGAGCAATCTTTGCTAGGTGCGGTGTACATAGGGAATTATGTCTGAGCATGAAGATACAAGCAGCCTTAGTAATGGACATCAGGTAAAAAGGTGCACGTCAGATAGCTCAAATGTTTAAGCACCTCATGAGGTGGACTGCCTTCTCTGGGCTAGCATCCCTTGCCCAAGGAGGGTTATGCTCTTGCCATTCTGCTTCCAAAAACTAAGATCTCATTAGAAATTCAGCTGCACATTGGAGCAGAGGGAAAGACAGAGCAAAAGGGGGGTGGGGGGTGGAGAAAGATTAATTCTTTGAAATTGTAAAGATAAGAACATGCTTTAATGAACAATGAGAAGCATACTTCAGAAGGAAACCACAGCCCTGTAATTGGCATTGGGAAATACACTGTAATATCAGGTAGTGTTATCAAGCACAGTACATTAGAAAAGGATCCAAGGAAGAACAAAGATCATATATTTTATAAACAGGTTTTTGCATCTAGAGGTAGTGCAATCTGCCTCATGTTCCAAATACAGATAATGGTGTTATAATCTATACTTGTGGATGCTTTGGTGCTGATCTCTAGCTGAAGAAGGATCTGAATGGGATAAGTGACTCTGAAATGTAGAACAAGTGGGCAGTGGACTGTTTGTGTAATCTGGAATGACAAATCTTTATGAGACTGGATTTTGTTTTAAACCCCTGTAGGCTTTCTTCCCACCACCACCACCTCCCCCAGATTTAGTTTCAAAGATATCTTTGTCTTAGGCAAAGATATTTGCTGATCAGTCCTTTAAAATCTATTTAGGCTATCCTTAGGTAGCAAACCGAATAGAGAAAATTCTTTACACAGTGAGTCCATAATAAAGCAAGTCTGATTAAGCAAACTCCATGTAACTTGCCTTTAATATTAATGTACTAATTTTCATTAAATGCAAGATAAGCGTTGTTCAGTCTTGTCTGTTCCATCTCCACCATTAAAATAAAGTTTTCATGAAGCAAAAGCTAAAATACCAGATATGAAAGCAGATTTTGTAAACCTTTAGGCCCAAGGATGCTCAGACCTCAGGTGGTTTCACAGAAATAGGATCTAGAAGTAGGAAGAGCAAAGGCTGTATCGCTTGTCACTCACCTTGCCTCGCCTCGCTGCCTGCCTGTCAAAGCGATGGGCTTAGATCTCTCCTGCCAGTATTTCCTTCACCAGAGGGCAGCTGTAACAGAAGACAGCCCAGGCCAGAAACATGCATCTCACTGTGCCCTTGTGTACAAACTCACCTTACATGTGGCTCCAGCTGCTGCCGAGTGCTGCTGGGTTGGTCAGGTAGGCAGAGGGAAGCAGGTAGTCTTAGTGTCCATGTGATGCTGAAATCCAGACTGATAACTTGGTACCATCTTCATCCAATGTCCATACCTCTGCGTTTGGGTGGTCACCGTCGTGACAGGACTGTCCTGAGGGAAATAGGATATTGTTGAAATCTGAAGTGGCAACTGCTGCTCATGCAGAAGCCAAACTCACCTGAGCTGCAGCCACCGTTAGAAATGAGATTTGAAATAGCTGCGTATTCTGTACTGTCCACCTGCTTTAGAGTAGGTGTTCGGTGACTCACCAAACCTAATCACACCCCTGATCGCTGGTAAAGAGGGTGGGCTGTTTCTCTTTGTACACTGACTGGTGGTGGTTTTCCAAATACAGGTATCAGTCCCCCTTCAAATATCCACTGGCTCCCATGTATCAAAGTGACAGCCAGCCAGCAAGCAGACCTCTCAAAACTCATGATAAAATTAGCGGCAGTCGATGCTCCATTCAAAGTAATGTGATTAAGCCTACAAGTTTAGGTTTCGTTTCATCTTGCAGGCTGCAGATGACACTGTTTCAGAAGGACCTGATTGTTGCAGTAGCCAGAAGAAGATAAGCACAGATCAATTTACAGATATTGTTGGCCAACTACACTTACTAGGAGAAGAAATGTTAGTGAAAATGTTGCTGAGGTGTACTGCAGGGAGACGCTTCTAAGCTATCACAGACTTCACAGGATAAAATAGCAGTAGTTCTATTACGCAGTTTCTTTTCTGAGGACTCCAAATCATGATGACCTGAGCCAAACTGCTTTCAGATTCATATTCTTGCTGGTGCACATTGAATTCAGTTGAGGCAGGATGCAGTTTGGTATTTGTAACTGGAATTATCACTTATAGGTGAATATAGTGTAGCGAATAATCTTGCTGCTACCAGTTTTGTGAAGAACTTGGGCAAGGATCTGAATGTGGAGTATCTGAGGTAGTATAAGGATGTTAGTGGGACTAATTGATTTGGATTACACTGGCTGTAAGTAAAATAATTTTCCAGAGTCTGAGTGTACCTCCATATATCTGATAGCTGTGCAGTTTAATCTGCTGTTACGTTGTTTTTCCCTCACAGCTGCCCTTGGGTCTCTGAGATGTGACCATAGTGTCACTGCTTTGCTGCCAAAAAATACTGTTAAATCTCAGAAATTTAGTACAGGGCATTACACCATCGACATTAGGTTTTGCATCAGTAAGATGCATTTGAACATGCTCTTGAATAAGAGAACAGGATGCCACTAGCAGTGTTGGTTCTTATTTTCAGCGTGCAAAGTCCCATCCTGCTTCTTGGGTGCTCTCTCACCATCATGCACATGGGCCATCCCTTCCTTAGCACTCACTCATGTGTGTAATTCACCCTGCCTAGAGCGATGGAGCTCTGATGCTGCCTTGTCATTGTCACCCACTGTTGTAATGCTGTAATGCAGTGTCAGTGAAGCCATAAATCAAGTCTGCTCTGAAACAGGTACTTTTAGAAAGCTAAGCATCCTAAAAGTTCCACACAGTGCACAATCCAGACATCAGGTCGGTTGTCTCTTTCCAAGCTGATACAAGCAAGATGTTTCCTGTTTTAAGTAAGGGGTGGCTGCTGGCACAGAATTCTCTATCAGGATACATTCTTTGTTGAACTTATTCTGTTTCTCTATTTGATCTGCCACCCTGCCTGGAAGACCCTTTTTTTTTTTAGGCTGATTGAGGTCTGGCTGTGGGTGTAGGGTGAGGTGTTTGTGTCTTGTGCGGAAGAGGGATTGGCAGCAACTGCAAAAGGGAATAATGCAGAGAGTTGGAGAATAAGGGTTTTGGCAGCTTCTGCTAGCAGCAAATCCTGAGCATGTGATAACACTTACAAAGGAAACGTCAGGAGTCAGTGCCATATTAAAGAAAGCCTGAACTAATCTTTCCATTTGGGCTGTGAGAGAGACTGCTCTACAGTGGTGTGTGCGCATGTCCACACGCACAAAGTGTGCTTTTGTGTATGTGTGTGTGTGTGTAAATAAAACCTTGCTCTGGTTCTTGTAATCCCTTCCTACTGGAAAATATTTCATGGTATTATATGGATTTTTGGTCAATGCAGAAGAGTTGTGTCTTAGCACATTTCCAGCCAATTGGTGCCAGAAATGTTCATCTGACCGTGCTTGTATACAGCCCCTAGGCAGTATGTATAAAGGCAGCAACCCCAGGAGCTCTAGCCCTACCTAGCAGGAGAGCAGCATCTGTGGCATGAGCTATCTTGCATGCTCTGACCATGCGTTTGCCGGAGAAGCGATCATGTTTTCATTATAGGTCACTTGGAAGTGTTTTGTTCTGAACAGGTTTCTCCTGTTCAAACTATCACCTAAACCAGAGCCCAGCGAGCAGCTGCCTCGTGGGTAAATCCCCTGAAGGCACGGTTCTTGTCAGACTCTTTCCTTTCACGTGTCCATCTGGGTTAAAATAATCCGATGCACTGATGTGTGCTGCCATCAGGAGGTGTATTGGCTTGGGCATAGAGAGGCTAATTAAAACCAGGAAAGCTGGTCTCTCTTCGCCCTGAGCCACGTTAAATTGTAAGTAATCTCACAAACAATGTCCTCTTGCTGGACTCCTTCTGACACTCAAGAAGCAGATGCTGGTGGTGACCGTCAGGTTTCTTACACAGTAGGAAATGCAGTCATCTGAGGATGACTGAGCTGGCAGAGCTGGAGTTGCAGCCCTGTTTCCATCAAGCCTTGTGGAGATGTGCTGTGGTTAAGGCTGCCAGTAGCCTTGAAACTCTGTCTTGCTTAAGCTGATTCCTCAACACACTTACTTCTGTTGAAATGCACATCAGATTTGGGAGGTTTATGTCCCACACTTTAGAGTCAGTGCTTGGCAAGAGCTGTTGCTCTTAATTACGGCAGTGCTTGCTTCCTGGCCCCTTGCTGGTGTGAGTTTGCTGTGCAGAAAGACTTTAAGTGTGCTTAACTTCATGCTTTGCAGCTTGAGTTCAAAGGATCTGTCCATAGCTCAGAACTACAAACACCTTCATCTTCTGTATCAGGATGACCTGGTCTTTTACAAAGCAAAATGAATGGTGCTTACAGATTGCTCTGACAGCAGCCATCATCTGTGCTTCAAGCTGCCTCGCTTGTAAGACAATGGCGTGCATGCTCATCTTGTCCCTAAAATGTGTAAGCATCTGAAGGTTGATGTGTACATTGCTTTAAGTACCTCACAGATGGTAATGGCGAGAATCCATCTGACTGTACAGCTCAGTATGAAAAATGGTACAAAGATGGATTAATAGCTAAGTGTTCCTTAGCTGCAGCTCAACAGTGGTCAGAAAAATGGAAGGTGGCCCAGCATTCACACGTTCCCTGACAGCTTGTTTCTCCAGAACATGGCTTTCCAAACGCCACCAGGAAGCTGATGGTGAGTTCATCTAAAACATTGTAAATGGCAAATTATTCCACAAATGAACTAATCATCGTAAAAATCAATAGCATTTAAGATGCTGTTCCAAACAGTGGCAGCACTAATCTGAAAGCGTTCCCTGATTCAGCAGCTGAATGGAAATAACCATTAGAGAACAGGATGCTTCCTACTGTTCCACCCACGCCTTTCTCTCCTTTGGAAGTAACTCATGTTCCTTCACAGCTGGGAATGGCAATGAAGTCCTCTGTGTCTATGAATTCCTGAGGCATGAAGAGAAATACTGAGATAAGGAATCAACAACAGTGTGACTATGATAGAAAGACTATGGGCAGCCAGCTTAGGTTTGGGGTTGGCTGGGTAGGATT